AGAAAAAAATTCCAAGTCTTATTGTAAGGACCTCTGATAGCCAAGCTATTTGTGTGATAGTTTGCAACCAACCATAAATACAGACTAGCAGCCATCTAGTCTTCTGTATCACAAATTGTTAAAGTAGGATTTCAGAAATATAGAAGCACAATCAATTATACTTTTGTTTTTAAAAATTCGGTACTATAAATAAAACGATAATTTGTCTGTTTATGTTCTGTTTTTTGCTATATACCTAAAGTGTATTCTTTTTATATAATCCTTGTAAATCTCATAAAGTATATATAAGTAAATGTAGTCCCAACATAGGTATATACATAAACAAAGGTTGGAGACAATTACATTCTTCCATAAAATAACTTTCATGTTTCCTGCTTGCTTGTCCAGCCTCTTATCTTTCTTGTGTTTACATTTCATGCTTTAGCCATATTGGGCTTTTCTGTTTCTCAAATGAGCCACATACTCTTAGTTTTAGATATTTGCACATTCTTACTGCTTCGTTAAGTGTAAACATTTTCTAGCATAGTGCTATTCATAGTGTGGTCCTTGAACTATTGTCACAATCCATGACAAGCTCAGTAGAAAACTAGAGGAAGCGTGTAGAAACCCAATGGCATTTCAGATTGTCATCCTCCCCTGCAAATCCATGGGCTTATTTGGGAAGAGAGTATATGCTGGTTCAAGTGCTGGTGAGTTGCATGCTAGTCATGCCCAGTAAGACCGTGTTACTGCATAGGGTATTATATGTTAACTATTTGTACTCAGAATTCATAAGGAGCAAAGGAGATGTAATTCATTTTGCTTAAAATCTTGTTATAATTTTACTTAGATTTATTTTTTCTATATATGAAATGAATTAAAACTCAACATAGCTAAATTAAATAATAAAAAAGCAAAAAGTAAAAACAATTGTTTTCATTCTTTTTAAATTTTAATTTATAAATATTGTCTAAATCTTGGAAATAAAATTTATATTATGTCTTTTAATCCTAGTTTACTAATGAAAAAGCGAACTATTGGTCTTTTTGACACAAAAAGGTACACCTTTTCTGACTATGAAGGGCAAAAACAAATCGTTTAAATAGGGATACAGGTGGACCCATTGCAATAATGAGACGTACAAGTCATTGTGTCGAAAACGAACTTTACAACTTTGGTGGGGGGGGGAGGAGGGTTGGGTGAGGGGATGTAGGGGGAGGATGGAATGGGAAGGGGAAACAAAAGAGGAGGCTACAATGCTTGATAAGAAATGTACTCATTATCTTGCCCATGTAATTGTAACCCCTCTGTACAGTATTTTCACAATAAAAACAAAGAAAGTAAGCAGTACATTAAATGGTGACAGTGAAGTCATTTCAGAGGCACTACAGTTGGTACTAATTCAGTTGAGAAGTATTTACTCTCAATATACTGAAAGTCTGATTTGACTATAATCTGTGGAGAAGAGTTAAAATCATAGTGGTTTACTTGTGAGTAGAGACTAGCTAGTGAAACAATACAATTAGAATTTGAGTGGTTTTTACATGTATAAATAAACCAGAACCACATTTACTATTTGAAAGAAAGACTATTCCTTCAGCTGATGGAAGCAGATATTTAGGATTTCACATATTTGTTAGTAATTTATTACTTTCTGACAAAGTCTCTTGAACAAAGTTGTCAACATTGAGAAGCCACATACAATAAATAACAAGAGTTTGCCTGCAAACCCTGGATGTCTGTAGCAAAGAAGGTAATTTGGATACCAGTTTCCAGCAACACCATACATTTACGTAATAAGAACAGGATAGTTATAAAGAAGACTAAATCTCTGACAAAGTTCTCTCAGAATAGAATACATTATTTTATTTCATAAAAATGATGAATAATAACGTTTTTCAGTTTCATTGCTGATAAACACAGCTTGTTGTAAAGCACATACATTTTTAATTGGCTACAGTATTAAATGTGATTTGAAGTTTTACATTGACAAAATGTATTGTTTTATATTTTATTAAGTAGTTGTACAAAGAGGTTATAATTCTATAAGTCATATATTCTAATTATGCACAGAAAGAGACAATACTTGGGCTGGAAATAAGACCAATGTCCTATTTTTCTCACAGAGAAATAAGAAAATGCTGTGTCAGATAAACTACACAGTACCTGCACTCTATCAGCTGAATTAACAGTTCACTACAAATGTGTACTATTCACTAATGCATTAAATTTTAGATTTCAAAAACATTAAATGATAGTTTCGGTCTTGAACTTATCAGTTGGCTAATCCACTGTCCTGTGCTAAGTTATACATTGGTTCTCAAAGGGAAAATTTCAGTGGAGACTATTTGAACTTGGGGTTAAACTCTTAGTGTTTAGTGTTTTTACAAGATAAGAAACTACTTTGGTTGCCAGCTCTTTTTTTTTTTTTTTTTTTTTTGTCATGGAGTTTGAACTCTGGGCCTGGGCATTGTCCCTTAGCTCTTTAAATATGTGAATCAGATTTATTTGGCTTATAGATTGCTTCTTTTTCTTTTCTTTTCTTTTCCTCTTTTTCTTTCTTTCTTTCCCTTCCTCCCTCCCTCCTTTCTATCCTCCCTCTCTCCTCCCTCCCTCCCCCCTCTTCTTTCTTTCTTTCTTTCCTTCCTTCTTTCCTCCTTGATTTAGCCTTTTATGAAGGGAAGGCATGTTTGATGTTTTTCCGTGGCTGATAAGGTCCATAATATGTTAAAAATCTGGGTGAAAGTAGTTTGGGTTCCATAATGCAGTAACAATAGTCAACAAATAGCTAGTGACATTGGCGATACATATTTGAAAAAGTTATAATCAGAAATGATATGTTTGATAGCTTTAATTTTTAATAAAATGAATCTATAGGAAGGAAATTTTAAAAATCAGGAATTTACTTTTTTTGGGGGGCGGGGGTGGTCCAGTCGTAGGGCCTGAACTCTGGGCCTGGGCGCTGTCCCTCAGCTCTTCAGCTCAAGGCTAGCGCTCTACCACTTGAGCCACAGCACCACTTCTGGCTTTTTTTTCTTTTTGCTTATGTGGTGCTGAGGAATTGAATCCAGGGCCTCAGGCATGCAAGGCAAGCACTCTGCCACTGAGCCACCTTCCCAGCCCCTGGAATTTATTTTTTTCTTCAAAAGTTTCTTTAGATTTTACTATGTTTTAAACAAAATAATTCAGTGGCTGTCTATAAAAGATTGAAGACAATATTGAAAAGCATATTTTTCTGCATTTTTGATTAAAAGTAATATGGTTAAGTTTTCTGAAATTCCTGTAAAAATTCTCATCTTGTTCCTGTTAACATAGGTCTATGGGACTGGTTCCTCTGCATGCAAGTAGCTTAGATTCATATTTATCCCATCTGAGTCATCGTCAGTATACCCTAGATTGATAAATTAACAAATGTGGTAGCCAGGCTTCAAGATGGCCCCAAGAGGCCTACTTACTTGTATTTCCACTTGGGAGAATGTCCTCTCTCATTGTACCAAGCTTATTATGCATGGCTAATAAAATAAGGCAGATGGAATATCTTGTCACTAGTAAGATTGGGTTATGATTTCAGCTTCTCCCCTGCTTGTTCTGTCACTTTATCTCTGCAAAAGTCAATTGCCATATGGAAAATTACCCAAATGGAAGGTAGGGCTTCTACCAGCAGCCAGTGAGGAACTGGGCACTTGAGCTGTCAGTCACAAGTGAGCTTGAATGCAGATTTTCTAGCCCGGAAATCAAGCCTTCACTTGGCTGTAGCACTGACCTGACCAACACCTTGACTTAAAGCTCCTTAATCACAATCATCCAGGTAGGATGCCTCTGAACTCTGGAACAGAAGAAACTTTGAGGTAATTAATGTGTGTTGTCCAAAGCTACACAATTCTAAGATAATGTTTTGGTCGTAGTAAATGATACAGCAAACGAGGTAAACTTGTTTGTTAACATTTATTGATATATAGATATAGATATATACTCACACACATACACACATGCTATTAATTCAGTATATGTAAATTAGAGTTCTTACAGATTCTGCTTTGTCTTACTGTGAAGGGGTTATATGCGGTACTATAGTAAATGAAAACTCTATATGTATTTATTTATTTACTTATTTGGTACAGATTCAAGGGCTTGAACTCAGGGCCTGGGCACTGTCTCTGAGCTGCTTTTGCTCAAGGCTAGCGCTCTACTACTTGAGCTACAGCCACTTCTTTTTCTGTTTATGTGGTACTGAGGCATTGATCCCAGGGCTTCATGCTAGCTAGGCAAGCACTCTACCACTAAACCATATTCCTAGCCCCTTGAGCTTTTTGCGGGAGAGGGCGGGGGGGGGTCTGGTTGTGGGACCTGAACTCTGTCTGGGCCTGGGCGCTGTCCCTCAGCTCTTCAGCTCAAGACTAGTGCTCTACCACTTGAGCCACAGCGCCACTTCTGGCTTTTTTCTTTTTGCTTATGTGGTGCTGAGGAATTGAACCCAGGTTCTCATGCAAGCAAGGCAATTGCTCTGCCACTGAGCCACCTTCCCAGCCCCCTTTTTTTTTTTTAAAGACAAACTCAAAGCTAGCTCTCTGCCACTTGAGCCACTTCTGACTTTGTGTGTGTGTGTGTGTGTGTGTGTGTGTGTGCTTAATTGAAGATGAATCTTACGGACTTTCCTGCCCAGGCTGGCTTCAAACCATCATCCTCAGAGTTCAGCCTCTTAAGTAGCTAAGATTACAGACATGAGCCATTAGTGCCTGGCAGTAAACCGAAAGCTCTATATAAAGCTTGGGCCTGTGCTTGCTATTAACATATTCAGTACCTAGAACAAGGTCTGATATCTCACAGTTACTTAGTAGATTCCAGTTAGAAGAATCAATGTTTCTTTTAAATTTTCCTTGAGTTAGAATGATGATTAGTCCATACAATGGTAAATAAGCTGTTATACCAATATATCCTCTCGAAATGTTGTTTAAGATTGGATAGAAAATATCCCTGACACTATTAAAGATTTTATAAAATGTGTCTTTTTCTTTGCATAGCACAACCACTGCCTCAGAAGATGAAGTTTCAAGTAGATATACCAGAACAGATAGAGGTAGATATAACAGAGATGCAACTGTTGCAAGTAATTTGGTGTCAAGTAGCACACTGGAAAAGAAAATTGAAGATCTTGAAAAGGTATGGATTATGAGTTATTCAAGATTTGTAAGGTGAATGTATCATAGGGATTTTTTTTTCCGTTTAATAACATCTGTGAGATAGAAAATAAATTGAAAATGGTAGAGAATGGGTAATGATAATGAAAGATTGACTGGTATTTCCATCTAGTAATATCAGACTTGCTGTTGTTGATAAATTTTGACAGTACTGGGTATTGAACTCAGGGCCTCATGTTTGCTAGGCAGGAGCTCTACTGTTTCAGCTTTGGCCCCAGTTCTGTTTTCTGGTGGTTAGTTTTTTGATAGGGCTTGGTTCTTGCCCAAGCAATAGGCACATGCTTGAGCTTTAATCCTGTGATTGCTGGGGTCAGAGGTCTGTATCACCATGTCCATCTTCCCTCCATAGAGATATGGAGTCTTGTAGACTTTTCTAACCGGTCTGGCCTCAGGCTGCAGTCCTCCCAATCTTAGCCTTCCAAGTAGCTGGAATTATAAGCTTGAGCCACAGGCACCCTGCTGTAATTAGCAGCTACTTATAACCATCACTTATGTATTTAGTTTAAGATATATAGCAACTTGGTATTCACTTGTTCTGTCCAGTTCTTAGGAAGTTAAAACTTGAGGAATGAAAGAGATCTTGTGTTCCTTAATATATTTGATGATAGTCTCATTCTGCTATACGTTATCTTTAATATGTTGAGAGTTTTGAAAAGTTTAGAAGTCAGAGCTGGCAAGAACAATTCAAATAAATATTAGCTATGGTCTCATAGATACTGAATTATTTGGTGAATAAGTATTTTACGAAACTGTGCTTTAACAAACATTCCTGCTTTGTGCATTTAAATTTAAAACTTTAGAGAACACACACACATTTTGTGTAGTATTCGGGGGGGGGTTCCTCAGAATGTCTTCAGGAATAGAGGAATTGGAATTTAATTGCCAGTAGTTGCCTGCAATTGATTGATTTGAATAGCTGCTTTCTCTGAGGGCCAGTAGAAAACAAGTGAAATCCTGGCCACCCAGACCTTTCAGCTCTGCCTGTCTCTTGCTCTCTGGTGGCTCTCAGCCTCGGGCCCTGCATTATAAATACAATTTTGTAAAAGGTATTGTTCTAAAAAACAAAACAAAACAAAAACAATCCCTTTGCAAGCTGAGTGTTGGTGGTATCATCTTAACTACTCCGGTGGTTGAGCCTGATGATTGGGGTTCAAAGTCAGTGTGGGCAGAAAAGTTTGTGAGACTGTTACCTCCAAGGAAATCACAAAACTCTGGAAGGGGATCTGTGTTTTAAGTGGTAGAATACTAACCCTGAACAAAAAAAAATCTCAAAGACTGTCCAAGCCCTGGGTTCAAGGAGGAGGCTCACGCCTATATTCTTAGATACTCAAGAGACTAGGACTGGGATCTGAGGATCAAGGAAGTGACTCAAGAAAGCACGATGTAAGCAAAAAAGCTGAATGAGAGCACAAGGTCTTGAATTTGAGCACCAGTACTAGCACAATAGCTAGCTGAATTAATGAAGGAATGATAGATGAATAAGCAAGTTACTTCCCTATTAATTCTTTGTAATTGTATCTACCAGGAAGTACTAAGAGAAAGGCAAGAAAACCTAAGACTTGTGAGATTGATGCAAGATAAAGAAGAAATGATTGGAAAACTCAAAGAAGAAATTGATTTATTAAACAGAGTAAGTATTTTACATATTTTAATTACAAAGTCTCCTTTTAGCAATGACATGAGAGTGCATGTTTATGAAGAAATTATTTAATTATATTTTCCAGTTCTTTAATGAGAGAGTAATTTGTGGTGAGAATTATATTTTATTCCATAACTTTATTTCATTTAGGCAATGACTAGTTTAACTCAGTTTTTGTTCCTTGGGGGGTTGACTAATTAGTAAATTTGTTCTGTTTTTTTCTTAAAAGGTTAGAGGTTTAGCTGGGCACCAGTGGCTCACACCTGTAATCCTAGCTACTCAGGAGGCTGAGATCTTAAGGTTTGCAGTTCAAAGCAAGCCTGGGCTGGAAAGTCCATGAGACTCTTATCTCCAGTAAAAGTGAAAATGACACTGTGGGTAGAGTGATAAAGCTCAGGGATAGTACCCAGGCCCTAAGTTCAGACCCTACAATCACACCACCACCAACAAAAAAAAGTCTGGAGGTTTAGGCAGCTTGTCCACTACCAATATAAAAGGAGATTGGGAAAGAATTACATTAATAAAAAAAATTGGTACTTTATCACTAAAAGAAATTCCAGCTATCTTTGTGTATATTTCCATCTCTTCTTCCTTGTACTATATGTATTTCTAACTTGAGCAGTAGGTCCCAGGCTCTACTTACTCCTTTTTGTAGCTCTTATGTGTGTCTTTAGCCCCAGAGCTTACTTCCTGTTTAAAGCACTAGGCCATACATAGACAATGGTGATAAGAAAAATATCCCCAAACCTGGCTTTATTATAGGATTTTATATAAGATGGAAGACAGAATTAAGTTTGCTTCAGGGTAGAAAAACACAGACCCCCAAACCAGTCTTAACTATAATTATAAAAGAATTAGATGGTGAAGTACTTGCATGTACCCTGCCCCAGCACCACTAAAATAATAAATAAAATTAAACATGTAAATTTGTTCTAGTAAAGCTCAAAGGCTATAATTACAACTAATAAACGAAGGCAGTGAAGCTTTCAGTTTATAACTTACTCTAGGCCATAGACAGTCACATATGGTGAGCCAGTGCTTGACTTCAGATATGGTCTTTCCTTTTGGTTCATTACAAAGCAGTTCTCCATTTGTGCTAGAATTCAGCTTTTTCTCCCCAGTTTGAGGTTTCTGGGTGCCTCTCACTTTCCAGAAAGGCTCTCTTACCACTGAATCCTGCCTCTGACCCTTATTTGTGCTGGTTAACATAAACTTGGGGGAGGGGATATAAAGTTTATTTTTCAAAAAAAATTGACAAATTACTTATAATACTTATGGGAAATTCATAATTTCCCATCATTATAAGTAACTTTTTAATAATTTCAAAATCCCAGTTTGTGGCTCTCACTTGAAAAACTGAAAAATCCAGCAAGAATTGGCCCTGAAATCTTTATGATAACAATGAGAAATCAACTAATAGATGCTTGCTTTAGGTTGGACAACTTCCATTGAAAGTTACTTTCAGAACTTACCCTTATTTTAAAATTAGTTGATTAAATGAAAGATTTTTTTGGGGGGGGTCTGGTCATGGGACCTGAACTCTGGGCCTGGGCACTGTCCCTCAGCTCTTCAGCTCAAGGCTAGCACTCTACCACTTGAGTCACAGCGCCACTTCCGGGTTTTTTCTTTTTTGCTTATGTGGTGCTGAGGAATTGAACCCAGGGCCTCAGGCATGCAAGGCAAGTGCTCTACCACTGAGCCACCTTCCCAGCCCTAAATGAAAGATTTTTAAATGTGAATTTTAAAAATGTTTTAAAATGTCCATAAGTTTTTTTATAAGTACTGTTTCTCTTTTTTTTCCTTAAAGGACCTAGATGACATAGAAGATGAAAATGAACAGCTAAAGCAGGAAAATAAAACTCTTTTGAAAGTTGTTGGGCAGCTGACGAGGTAGAAGATTCAAGGCTCTTTGTGGAAAAAATCCTTTAAAACTACTGATTGAATGTTACAGTTAATGCTAGTGTAATACTCCTGTGTTGCAGTACATTAAAATAACTGTATATTTATTTTTAGAAAATGAATGGATGTTTATTTTCAAAACTTTTTCTTTTCATTATGAGTTAAAAAAAATCTTTTATTTCATGAATAAGTAACATCTTTCAGTTATTACATAATGATAGGTAATGCTTCTTGGTTTTGTGTGGTATTCAAATAATATATGTTTTAAAGTCACAGTTGTTTGAATATATTTTATCTGTGCTAGTGTATTTTCTCCGTAAAGGAATATATTGTAGTCTTTGTTTACATGAATTCACATTCTTTGGGGAAATTACTTACCAATGCCTTAGTACTGATGTTGCAACCTTTTACATGTTGAAGATTTGCTCATAAAGCTATTTGTCTACTGTCATTTGTTCTTTTCTCTTGTTCTAAGTGATTTAGAGTAGTAACAGAAACACTGCTTTGTATAACAGTAATCTTGTAGAGGAAAGCAGTTTTTAAAAGTCAATATGTTCTAGTCAGTTAAATACAAACTTAAGAGAATACTTGAATTATGCTGTAGTAAATGAAAATTTACTATTTTGTTTTTGAATATTGAAACTTGTTACATTACTTTAATTCCTAAGAAACAGTTGTAATTTTTCATATGTAATTTCTTATGTAGGTACTACTTTATTGTTTCAAGGTTTATTATTAAATATGGGGGATTTAGAAAGTTATTCATTCTTCAGGCTTCAAAATTGTGTACAATTGACAGTGTTTGAGAAGGAAACCCATGCTTTTTCTAGCAAATGCTAGAATATTAGAACCAATGTATTTGTCCTCACTGAAGACATTTATACATACATTAACAGAACAGTATGTAAGCAGAAGTAGTATCAAAATATTTTGCCTAATTTCTAAGCTGGAAAAACACTGTGATACTGTTTTTATATGAGTGAATATTCCCCTATCCCAGATTTAAGGAATTTTTTTTCCTAACACTGAAAACTTTTTTAAAAAAAGTTATTTTTTGGAGGAATTACCTTTTATTAAATATCCTTAGTACCTAGAGTTTTTTCATATTATATTTTCATATTGAGTAAGAACCTCCCCTCCCTTAATATGTATTAACATGAAGAAATGTCTTTCTGCAGTTGAATATCAAGCAGCAGTACTAATGTTGTTTTATCTAATAAAGCACAGATAGATGTAGCTTGAGCATAGAGAGCCCATTTAGGGTACCCTACTGTCTCTTTTTACTTCACTTGCCAAACTTATTCACCATTAGAAAATTAGGGAATGAAAGACAATGGGGAAAAATTGAATAATAAATATCAGCTTTTAAATTCTAAATATATCTGCAGTTAGAAATATCAAAATTAACCAATGATCAGAATCACTTGAGCAGTTTTAAAAAGAATCCCTGCCTCTAACTCTTAAGTAGATTTAGATTGAGACCTGAACTCTATAGACTTTTTAAAGCTCATCTGATTTTTAGTGTAATGTAGTTTTGGAATCAGTTGCTGTTGTGTATTTTCCATTTAAGGTCCTGTAATTGACAAATTAGCTACCAGTATTTTCTTCCTTTAAAGTAATAATTAACCTAGGGTCCCCACACCCTCCCCGAGGGCAGTTTTTGTACATCTGTATATATGCTTGCTGCTCACATGAAGTTCAGTGTTAGCTCATGAAATTTGATACAGCTACAAGAATTACTGAAGAACAGCTTCCTTCTTGGAGACTTGCCCAGCATAACAGTGATCAGCTGCCCACATTGCTACGGTATCTGCCAGGCTCAATCACTACTGGGCTATGTGGTACTCATCTCTTCAGTCATTTTTAGGTATGTGGCAGAAAGGTCTCCATTGCTCAGATCTTTATCAACTCTCCAGATGTTGTGAAAATGCTGGCAATATCCTACCTTAATATATTAGTGAAAGAATTAGTTTCAGTTTTCTGTTTAGTTCCTATGTAGATAAAGGCACATTTTATTTCACTTTAAAATTGTACTAGTTATGAATGCTTCTAAAGCTTGAGATGTTTTAAAATTTTTCCCTCCAGTATTTTCAGGAATGGTTTTTGCTTTTTTTATGTAATGACTCCCAGTGCAGATACAGGAGCCTCACGATTTAGGCAAAGCATTTCACAGGTTGCACTTCCCCACTTCCTTAAAATGTGTGTTTATTTCATGTAGGAGTTTTACACTGAGGTAAGACTTATTACAGTTTTAAATATATAAAGAGATAGGTGATGGTGGCTCACACCTGTAATCCTGTTTACTGGGGAAGCTGAGATTGGAGGATCCACTTTTGAAGCCCTCCCTCTCACAAAAGTCCATGAGATTCTTATCTCCAATTAATCAGCAGAAAGCTGGAAGTAGACTTGGCTCAAGCGGCAGAACCTTAGCCTTCAGTGAAATAGCTAAGCAAGAGTGAGAAGCCCTAAGTTCAAAGCCCTGTACCATAGCAATACTCAAAGGCAACAAAGATTTCTCACCAATAAATTAAATATTTACAAATAAATATTTATAAATTTTGGGGGGAGTGTTAAGCAGGTAGTCTAAGTACATGTGTACTGTCATAGGAAACATGCTTATTGTTAATAAAATACATTTTGTGAAATCCAGTCCTATTAATATTATTTCTCATAACTCCTTGTGATTTGTGGCAAAATAAAGCGCATCCAAAGTTACAACATTTTCAAAATTAAGTTTATCTCTGCTGCTGATACAGACCATCTTAAAGTTATTACAATTTTTATTTCATTTTTCTAGAGTTCTTTATTATTTCATTATAATACATTTACCATTGGAGGGAAGGGGAAGGAGTTGGGACGTGTACTTTTAAATAATAGTAGATTAGCACTGTCACACGTGTCCAAGTATATTAAAATGTAGAAAATTAAGTATTAATGAAGCACTGTAGTCTTTTATTTCCATAATTTAAAATTTGCTTAATTGTGGTAAGAAGCAATATATTCTTAAGGTGGAAAACCTACCTCAGTTATATGTGGTTTATCTTTTTTGGAGCAGTCTGGATTTTTGTAGCTAGACATCAAATGGTAAAATTTTGGGTCCATATACTTTGTTAAAAACAATGTGAATTAGGGTAATACAAAGACACATGCTGTACACTGTAAGAAAAAACAGTGAAGATCTTTTAATCAATTAGATCAAATAGATCAATTAATCTAATGTCTTTAACCTTCATGTTGATAGTCTTCCTTTGCTTTTTTTTTTTCAGTTTTGTGATTTTTTGAGTTAGTGACTAGTAAGTTTCAGGTAATGCTGGCACTCATCATTTTGCTAATTTGTTCTAATATTTAGGTGTTTTCATTTTTGTAATATATGAACCAGAACACACCAGCTTTTTCTTAGAGAGAATATGTTAAATGAGAAAGAAATAGCATCCAAGAATCAGAACTTTTTGTTAACACTTCTCATATCTGAGTCCTAATATGTAACAGTAAATTTACATTTAGCTAGATTTGCATTGGAATTATGCTCTCCTAAATAAAGGACATCCTATTGATGAAAAATTTTAATTCTGTTGTTCATTAAACTGAAAGTGTAATGCTACATGGACAACAAAGTTTGCTCATCAAGTATATCAACAAAAGCACCTCCCCCCATGCTGTTCAGCTTCTCTTTGATCTATATAAGTTGGCTGTTTGATTCTGGGATTAAAGACTTGAACCATTATGTAAGAAAACCTTTAGCCCACATTTTTTGTTTTGCTTAGCTGAATTTCCTAGCCCATTAAAATCCTGTTCTCAACGCCCTCCCCAAATCAGTGTGAGAGTTGCATTGAATATTCATACCTATCTCAGCAGTCATGTGGTATAGAGTTATAGTTATGTTGAAGTTTTAAATAAATGGGTATGAACTAACTCTTCCACTTAGAGTACCTTCTGTGTAGTGTGTTAGTTGCATAGAACAGTTTTAGCTAGCATGCTTGTCTAATCTGAACAGTTTGTTCAAAGGTACTTTTTATGCTAATTATTCAGCCATTGTCTTACATTAGATCTAGTTAATAGGTACTGTCAAATACTGACTAGTCCAAGGAAAGAACATTTATTTGAAAGTACTTTGCCATATTAATTTGGGTAATTATGCATTAGGAAAGAAGCATTAAGGAATTTATAACAGTAATAAAGTGAAAAGAATTGTGTGTCAGGTGCACCAATCTGTTCCAAATCTGATTTCAAGTTAGTATTTCCATATACATTATTAATAGGGCTTTCTTAAAACATTTAAGCTTCTGCCCTTCAGTTCACAAACTAGCATTCACTCCAATAAGATTACAAGGTTAGTAGTAATAATTCTGAATTTTAAGTGCTTGTGTTTTGTTTTTCCCTCTGGTGCCTTCTTGAATGTATGTTACTTTTCATCAACTTGTTTCTTAAAAGATTTGGCTATGCGATACAAGGTTTTTATTGCTTGTTTTTTTTTTAATTTAAGAAAACAAATAGACATTGGTACCAGCAAAGATCATATGAAAGCTGCAGCTCACTGTTTTGTTGAAAAAATCACTAATTCAGATAACCTAAGTGTGGGAAAACATCTGGACAGTTAATTGAGTACAGTATTGTACATGCAGCTTTGACCATTCCCACTGCATAGGTTTTCATTGTGGATATTCAACATAATATAGCTTTAATTTCAATATGCTTTTCATGTAAAAAAAATACTCAATAAAAGTTACATTTTCATTTATTTTTTAACACTGGTTATTTTTTTCCCTTACACTATTAATGAAATCCTCTCCCTGATTTTTTTTTTTAGAAATTAAACAAAATGAAATATTTCAAAAATCTGTATTTGGTTATATTATTTTAGAAGAAATTATATTTAAAAAACAAAAATATAACTTTAATATCTGAATATAGTAATGATAGGACTTCTTGATGAGTGAAGAAGTGTGCTTTATGTTCAGCCTGATTGCAAACCTTGTCTTTGTGTTCAAAAACTACTAATTTCTTGATTTATGATTGCAACTGTTATATAAACTTAATCTGAATTCAAACTACACCTGAATCCAAAGAACCGTAGATCCTTCATAGTTTGAGACATAAATAGGGGTTTGGAAATTAAAAATCTAGTCTTCATGTTTTTAGTAAATGATTCATTTAACTTTTACATGATATGTTATTTTTCATACACCTGCCCAAGCTAATCAGTCTTCTAAAGTTCATATCCTCTCAGTAATATCCTGTGTATCTAATAGACAGCAACATTCTTGTCAGTACACTTGGATAATGTCTTACATCCTTGTATCAGAACATATTCCACCGGCAAACCTGTTGAAAATCTTTGCAAGATCTCATAGTCTTCATTGAAACTGGAACCCTTTATCTGAAGACTTCATCAGATCCCTGGAGTTTTTCTTTCTAGATTCACTCTGTATTTGTGCATGCATGCATGCACACACTTTGTCAGCAACTGTAAATTGCCCACATAATTTCTTAATCTCATTCCTCTAGTTACTCTTCAGCTTTGCAAGAGCTTTCATCTTTACATTTATTTGTGATCAATTCTTAGGAAAAGGGGTTGGGCTGTTAGGTCCTTTAAAATCCATTTATTTTATGTCTACAAAGATTTATTTTATGTCTAAAAAGAGAAACTGGAAAATAGCTCTTCCCTCTTAATCCTGAATCAAATACATGTTACTCCCACAAAAACTCCCATAACTTGTTAATAAAGTTTTGTTTGTGTGTTGCTAGAGATCCATCCAACTCAGGGCCTGGACTCTGTCCCTGAGCCTCTGTGTTCAAGGCTAGTGCTCTACCACTTGAGCCACAGCAGCACTTCTGGCTTTTTCTTTGTATGTGGGATTGAACCCAGGGCTTGATGCATGCTAGGCAAGCACTCTACTCTAAGCCACATTTCCAGCCCTCCATCTGTCAAACTTTTTAACAAAGGTTTGTGTTAGATAGTTAAAATAAATTGGTATGAGCCAGTTAAGAAAGATGGATTGAACTTTTTATACATATAAAAACAAAATTTTTCATAGCAGTGTCTTTGTCTGAACATACACTTATTTAGTCTTAATTCATAAGTAATCAGTTGTATCTTTGTTTAGACATACTGTAGGATCTGTCAGTCACAATCTTTATGTTAGTCTACTGTCTTGTATCCAAAGAAAATATTAGCATTCCTTTAAAATGTGAACTGTGTTCTGTGGTCAGCCCAAGTTCATGATGTCATCAGTGGACAGTTAAGGTTTACAGAAGCAAATTATTGAAAAATGAATAAAAAGGTATTTGATTTCTTTTGTTGTTTTTGTAGTGCAAAAGTATATACAACGTTATAAAAATCCACACTGACGTATCACAAATCATTCTTGGTAAGAGTATGCTCATACACGAGGTAGAGATGGGAAGGATCATGGTTCCAGTAAGCAAGCCTGAGCAAAATGTTAATGGAAACTTCATCCCAACAAATAATCGGGCTGTGGTGGTGAATGTATGTGGTCTCAGCTCTGTAGGAGGCCATAGGCAGGATTCTGGTCCCCAGACAAATAGACAATACCCTATCTAAAAATAACCCACAGGCCTAAGGGCTTGGGGTGTGGGCGGGTAGGGAAAAGCCCAGAGACAGTGCTTGCCTAACAAGTGTGAGGCACTGAGTTTAAACCCCTGTACAGTAAACAACATCACTAATTGAAAGTTTTTGCCAATCACATTTGTGTTAACTATTAAGTCAAAAGGATCATGGAAATTTTTAATGGACCAAATGAATGAAAAGGCCTTATTAGGACCCCCCTAGGCTGCGGGTGCCAATAAACATACTGAGTCTGGCAACAATTTAAGATTTACTCCAACCTGATTTTAGAGCAGCATAATAACATTGAGTTAGTAATTGAGTAGCTGTATATGCCAGGGTGTTTGGTGTATGTATTGTTCTACTTGGTTCTTTAAAACCTGTAACAAACAGATCAAGAGGGTAATTTGCTAGTTGTGTTGACTGCAAAGCTTTGTGCTTGATACTGTTACATGGTAACTGGTGAGCTAATCACTGTTCTAGGGAATATTTTGAGGTTTTCTATTACCCACACGGTTAGCATTACCTTAGGAATCTGTTAGAAATACAAAAATTCAGTGACCTTGCTCCACACCTCAATTTGTTTTTTTTGTTGTTGTTGTTGTTTTGCTGGTCATGGGCATTAACTCTGGGCCTGGGCGCTGTCCCTCAGCTCTTCAGCTCAAGGCTAGCGCTCTACCACTGGAGCCACAGTGCCACTTCCGGCTTTTTCTGTTTATGTGGTGCTGAGGAATCGAACCCAGGGCCTCATGCTTGCAAGGCATGCACTCTACCACTGACCTACCTTCCCAGCCCCTCAATTTGTTTTAACAAAGTCCTCCCGGTAATCCTGAGGATGTCAAAGATTTCAGATCCCTTCCATGCATTTCTATTTTTTTAACTATTTTTTTTGTCTTTTTTTCTTTTTTGGTACTGGGGATCAAACCCAGGATGTTGCACTTGCTAGGCAAGCGTTTTGCCACTGAGCTACATCCCAGCCCTCTATTTTTTTTAAACAACATTTTGCCTTTTTTTTGGGGGGGGGATAGTGAATCATTATATAAATAACATCATGTGAACTTGTTTAAAACATAGCCTGCTCTTCATTGCTTTCATTGAAAAAGATTGTATCAGTAGGAGCCTCAGCACGGACATTGGCAGCTTGACATAACCTCATTAGTTCCGTATTATCTCTGGAACTCAAACGGACTTCCAAATGCCAGAGACAGGAGAATGAAAACTTCATTGTTCTCTATTAAGGTTTATCCCTGTTATTGCCTGAAGGTTCTTGGTAACAACAATGCATTTTTGTCAGAATTTCAAACTAGTTTGGAACAAGTAATGTTTCATTAAGCACAGTGGTTTTGTTCTATGGTTTTGTGTTTGTTTGTTTGTTGGGTGGTTGGTGTATATGTAGACTCTGGGTGGTCACCAAATAGTCTACATGTTCAAAATGCCAATGTGAGTTCAGAAAAAGATCAGCGGTACTTCTAAGCTAATGGATCAGTGGATTGAAATCCAGTGATTTTGTGTATATATGTGCCAATACTGGGGTTTGAACTTAGGGCCTGGTAACTAAACTGTAGATTTTTAGCTCAAGTCTGGGTCTCTACCACTTGAGCCACACTTCCACTTCTGCTTTTTTGCTAGTTAAACATAAGAGACTCATAGACTTTGCTGCCTGGGCTGGCTTCAAATGACAATTCTCAGATCTTGGCTTCCTGAGTAGCCAGGATTATGGGCATGAGCCACTGGCACCCAGTTGGAAATCCACAATTTGCACCCCAATGAATCAGGATAAAGTTAAAAGCTTATTCTGGGATTTGATTTTCTTATATATTATGAAAGAAACTTTAGAACAGTTTTGATTTACAGAATTGTAGGAGGTAGTGCAGAAGTTCTGCTTGTTTGTTCTGTACCTTTTCCCTCTTGTTATCATCTTACATTAGTATTGTGTCTTTTTGCAAGTAATGAACCAATATTGATAAATTAATTTGGCTCAGATTTTCTCAGGTTTTCCCTACAGTACTCTGCAACACAATCCAGTCCAGCCCTGTGTGTTACCCTTGGGGTCACATCTCAGACACAGCTGTGACAGTGTCTCAGGTGTTCCTGGCTTTGATGCTTTTGACATTTTTCAGTACTGGTCAGAGATTTCTCACATCTTCCAATGAACTGTTGAGATACACTCCAAAAATTATTAATGCCTTGCCAATTCTTTTGCATCTCTCCTCTCCCCCAGCCCCTACTTGTTTTGTTTGCTGGAATACTTTAAATTTCTATCCTATTATATTTCCCTATTCATATTTTAATATGTACCTCAAGTAGGAGTTAAAAATAACCCCAATATTATCATATCCAACAAACCAATACGGATTCTTTAATATCTGTTTAGTTGGGGTTCTTTAAGAAGCAGGATGTGTGAGGTTTATTGGGGGGAAATTTGGAAGGAGAGAAGGCTGAGAGCTGTCAGAACAGCACAGGGATGATGCAGGAGTATAGTTGGACAGGAAATCTTAATCCATAGACAGTTCTTAAAACAATGTCAACAAGGCCGGTGAAGGCCTCAAACCATAGGTGCCTATACCTGTAGGTTTCTCAATGGACCTTTCTTCTGTTCCTGCTCATCCATGATTGGCAAGAAGCAGGAAGGTTGGCTTTAGCTGAAGACAGTAGTGAATTTAGACCACAGCAATTGATACTGTCAGTCAATCAATACCCACCCTGAAGTTCCCAGCTGTCACATCATCTGCTATTTTTTTTGTGTGTGAAAATACTGTACAGAGGAGTTACAATTACATGAGCAAGGTAAGGAGTACATTTCTTATCAAACATGGTTGCCTCCTCCTTTGTTTCCCCTTAGTCACCTACTATTTTATGTTCAGATTTTCCCCAGATACTTTTTATTTTGTATGTGTGAGTCCTGGGGCTTGAACTCAGAACCTGGGTGCTGTCCCTGAGCTTTCTTGCTCAAGGTTAGCATTCTTCCCACTTGAGCCACAGCTCCACTTCTGCCTTTTGTTTTTGTTTGTTTGCTTTTTGTTTTTTGGTGATTAATTGACATAATAGTTTCATGGACTTTCCTGCCTTTGAACCCAGATCCTCAAGTCTCAGCCTCCTGAGTCACCAGGATTACAGGTGTGAACCACCAGCATTTTTTTTAAGGAGTATTTTCTATTGTCTCATTGCAGTAA